CTTAAAATGAACTCCCTTAAACTTGAAAGGCTTGTTGAGATCTCCAATTCCATCATTGATTTTTTCTGGTACTTGTTCCATGGTTGATCTCCTTAAAATTGTTGGTGAAAATACAAGAAAAAATTATATTTTATTGATAAATAATACAGAGAAAATGAGATACAAATAGATTAGGCTGAGGCACGGATATCTCGTTTTCTTTAAGGAGATCAAGCCCACTGCGGTAGGAAGAACCCAAATACTGATGTAGCAGTCACAAAACTATAACTTGTCCCCTCCAGGATTCAACAGTTCGACCACTAAGAAAAATACCCTTCTTTACTAGTAATATATCTTGTATAGAAAATAGTTTGTGTGTTAGTGAAGAAAAAGAGTAGATAAGAAAAACTGTTTATAGATCATTAGGACCTTACAAATTATACCAAAAATAATGTGACCATTAAATTATAGAAAATGGAGAGACTCCAAATAACAACTCACCATCAAGTTCATGAATTCTAATTAATCTTCATTTATGAACAAGATGAGATTCATGAATAAAATAAAAGAAGATTCATGAACAAAAATATATAAATAAATAAAAGATATTAAAATGGTCCAACAGAATTTAAAACCTTCAATTCAATTTTTTCATATTTTTGAATTAAAAAAAATATAAAAATACATGTGTCATAAAATCATTGGTCCTTTCAATTTAATTTAATTATTAATATATTTCAAATTTCAAATTTTTTATTTCTAAATATGGAAATAAATCAAAATTTTAACAATAATGAAAACTACTTCACCAAATTTAGTTTTTTACTATAATGGTAAACATGAACCCATATAATAAATATTAATCATGATCATCAACGTTAGTTTTCAAAATTTATCGTGCTAAATTTTATTTTTTCATTCAAATTTTATAGTTATTATTATTATTATTTTTTTTTTTTGTCAAACTGCTTTTTGTTTTTTAAAGTTAATAAATATATTTTTCATAAAACTATTAACACATCTAACCATACACCTAATTTGAAATTTGAAAATCTATTAAATAGTAAGTGTAAAATAGAATATTTTCATATTTATGCCACATCTCGTTTCAAATTTAAAATAAAATTTTAGTTGTTGAATTTGAAATTTGAAATATTTAAAAAAATCAAAAATGAAATTTTAGTAATATTATGGCGACCATATTTGGTTTTACTGATGTGGTTAGTGTCATATTAGGTGCCACATTACATGAAACTAAAACTTGATGTTAAAATGTCATCGCATAACATTACTGACATGGGTACGCCCACGAGGCATACGGCCCACAGCAAACCACCCCGAACCCATCGCCTAGGACCGATAGCATAACCCGGTTGGCAAATCTCAGGACAGCTGGAGGCCATCTACGCATGGGGGGCCAATGGCATTCGGACACATGGCAGGTGGAACACGGTCCACATCAGCAGACAAAGATCTGAAAAGTTATTACCACAATACATCACCATTAATGCATCCCATCACAGCATTTATTACGACAACACCTCCCCGTCGGAACAGAGCCCCCTCACCCTGAATAAGGTAAGCTACGGCACAGGCTTTCGGCGGAAGAGGGCACATCACAAGGAATAATGAAATGATTACCAAAGGATATAAGCAAGAATAGCAAGACAAGAAAAAGGTTAAGTTTTTCATCTCTCGATCCCCCTCACTACATTTTCTTCTTCCTCTACTAATTCTCACGCCGGAGGGTTCACTGGGGGACTGCCCCGTTCCCCTTTGGACTTGCATGCAGGCCATTTGACGGAATCACCCCACCAAACCGGAACTCGAAGAGCCTGGACCAGCCCGACCCATCCACCCGAGACGGACAGCATTATCAATTACTAACTTTACAAATCTATAAAAATTATTATTTGAAGTGTGAATTATACAAAATTTATTAAAATAAAAAAAATATAATTTAAATATATACTAACTTTGCAAATCTATAAAAATTATTATTTGAAGTGTGAATTATACAAAATTTATTAAAATAAAAAAATATAATTTAAATATATTACAAAACTATCCATAAGGTAAATCAGAAAAAATAGTTTATTCTCCAGCGCTCACTGTAAGTTGAACAACTGGTCTAAACAATTTGGTCTAACTAAAAAAAAAATCAGACTTAAACTTAAATTTTTATCCATAAATTACACCTTAATCACTAAAATAGTTCAAATTTAAATGTGAGCAAAAAATGTAGGTTTGTGAGCTCATCTATTACATTATTTTATATATAATTATATATTTTTTATTAATTCTAGTGTTTTGATTTTTATTTTTAAATTATAAAATATTTAAATAAAACTATTAAAATTAAAAATTAAAAATAGAGGTCTATAATTCAAACCATGAGAATTGTTTTAGTGGCCTAGAAAAGAAAAAAATAAATAAAATTGTAACGTCAAGTAGATTTGGCCTGATCCTAACAGTTTGTATTATCAATGCCATATGTGACTTTTATTACATGTTCATCATAGTATAACGCATAACATTATTAAATAAATTCTTTAAGATCTAAATAGGATGCAGTATGTGGTCAAAATTGTCATCATATAACCTTTAATTATTTAAATATTTAACATACAAATTTAAATAATTTATATGACCCTTATTGTAAATACTATTTCAATATATGTATAATTTATATTCAAATAGTGGAAAAAATATTTTCAAATTTATGACTAACTTTTAAACATTTATAAGAGTACTATTTAAATTGTAGATTCTATAATAATAATAATAATAATAATAATAATAATAATGAATAAATAAATAAAAAGGCTATATATTTATATATATATGATACAAATTATCACTTAGATGTATTATGCATACATCAACGTGACAAACATATTTACCTTAATTAATAAAATAGTAAGTGACAGTTCTCTCAGAGGTATGGTGAAAAAAATTACTTAATTTATATTTAATTACGTTACATATTAGTTTCTTAATTTTTTAATGTGGAACATTTAAAATATATATATTAATTTAAAAATTAAGAGAAAAAAAAAATGATCTTGGTGGAGTCGGACCAAATGAATGGCTTTAAGGTGAGTTGAATATTAGACTAGCCAAGTCAAAACTCAAGTTTTAATTTTTATTTCCAATGGTTAACTTGATTGTAATTAATGTATTGGGGAAGAGATTTTACGGCTATGCTTAGCAAGGTAAAAATTACTTTGAAGGGTGACCTGAGAAAGGGACTACTTTCTTTGTTCTCTTTTATATTTCATTCAAAAATTCGTTTTTGATATTTACAATTTTTTACAAGTTCTACAAAAATGAGAAAGAAGTAAAAGTTAATTGACACACATGATTTGCCATGTCATTTGTTGAACTCTAGCATAAGACAAGTTATAATTGCAAAACAATAATAACATAATGTATTTATGTTTTACTATATGTGCAGTTTTTGTAATTTACTCTATTTTTTTTAATTAATTATGTTATAACACATTTTTTTGTTATTTATTTATTAGAACACACCATTAATGATAAGGCCAAAAAAAATTAATTGTAATTGTAGTGCAAGTAATTAAAATTACTAGATTCTAAATTAGTTTTCTTCTGCATTTTAAAAATATTTTTTAATTACTATATAATATTAATATTAAATTTTAATTAATTATGTTAGACGGTGCATATCACGGTATAATGCTAGCATATAAATTTGACCGCATAATCACATGAAGTCATATAAAAAATTTCTCCAAAATGAAAGAAATAATTTTATATGGCTCCAATTTTAACCTTTGCCAAACAAGGCGATGTACACTTGAGCAATGATCTTTTAGAGTGATTTTTTTTTAAAGTTTTCTAGAGTGCTACATTGTGTGGTTGAGATTTACTAGTAAGTCACATCACCAAACCAGTAAAAAAAAGTTCAAACAGGAAAAAAAAAAAAAATTATTTTTGCCTTACTGGTTGACCGGCCGGTCAACCAACCGGTTGCCCAGTGCAAATTTGATGAAACGGATTTGATGTTGAACTGTTGGAGCGCGAAGTATCAGATTAAGGAAATGACTCATTTTTCACTCAGATTTGGTGAAAAATTTGGTACACCGTTGGAGATGCTCTTATAACACATTTTTTTGTTATTTATTTATTAGAACACACCATTAATGATAAGGCCAAAAAAAATTAATTGTAATTGTAGTGCAAGTAATTAAAATTACTAGATTCTAAATTAGTTTTCTTCTGCATTTTAAAAATATTTTTTAATTACAATATAATATTAATATTAAGTTTTAATTAATTATGTTAGACGGTGCATATCACGGTATAATGGTAGCATATAAATTTGACCGCATAATCACATGAAGTCATATAAAAAATTTCTCCAAAATGAAAGAAATAATTTTATATGGCTCCAATTTTAACCTTTGCCAAACAAGGCGATGTACACTTGAGCAATGATCTTTTAGAGTGATTTTTTTTTAAAGTTTTCTAGAGTGCTACATTGTGTGGTTGAGATTTACTAGTAAGTCACATCAATTTTTTTGATGTGATTTACTAATAAATCTCAACCACACAATGTAACACCTTAGAAAATTTTAGAAAAATTTCACTCTAGAGGATCCTTGGTGTGTACACCTATCCAATGATTCATGACAGAAAAACATGTCTCTTTTTGAAAAAGTCAAAACCTGTGAAAAAAACCCTCCCAAAAAACGAGGCAGCTCCACTGGATTTCCATTTGTAGCAAGCAGCAGGGTGAATAAACGTGGTCCAAGTCAACCACCCAAAAAAAATCGTTAAAAAAACCCTAAACTTGTACTGTAATGGAACCTTCGCAGCAAAACAACGTCATGAAATTGGTCGGTGGTCTTCTAAATTCCCAAGGATAGAGATATTCAAAGGCCTTTGTTTCTTTTTTCACATGGTCTGAAAAACATGACTATTCTGAGCTTTCCAAGCTTTTTTGGAGTAGAGGAAGAGATGGAAAGCAATAAAAACATGACATAAACAATCTTTTACTCAGGAGGAGGAGAGATAAGTACATCCTGAATGGCTGATCTTAGGCCCTTTGCGAGATCATTTGCTATCATGGAGAATTGAGGGTCCATCTGCATGAATTAATAGACATTGGGATATGTATCATTTTACATATTTATAAAATGAGGGTAATTGAAATGAAAATGTTTTAATAGATATGTAGTAAGATTATAATTAAAAATAAATATATTTATAAAATAATAAGAATATGACCTATTAAAGAATAGTTACAAGAGAATAAATTAAAATAATTTGATCATGTATAATGAAACTTTTTGAATCCAATGATTAGAAAAAGTAATATGATCACTATAAATGAAAATACTTAGGAGAGAGAAAAATCTATGTAGACATGGGATGTGATAGTGAAAAAAATAAAATTTTCTTTAATTTAATTGAATACATAGGGTTTTTTTTTTTTTAATTTTTTTTTTTAAACGGTGAATACATAGCTCTTAATAGAACTAAATGATGAAAAAATATTTATGTAACTAATCTCATTTGATTGAACACAAAACTTGGTTTGGTTTGATTTGGGAAATGTATCAATATCAACGATATGGTCATATACGATATATATCATATCAACATTGAGATATATATCAATATCGAAAACAATAATGCTATACTTATCACCTTATTTTACCACCTTCAATGTACCACCTTATATCTCAACCCATCATTGGTGTAACGAGGCTCACCACTCATATTTATATACGTCGAAGGTAGTAAAATAAGACTGTAAGTGTAGCATTATTGTATCAAAAAAATGGGATTTGGGGTTATTGTTGTCCACTATGCACATCAGCAATTGTTGTGCATCTCATTGGGCCCATTTCACAACCCAATTGGACAATCTAAAATGTTTGCATTTTAGAAGATATTGAGTAGAACATATTTTTAAAAAATTATGTTGATCGGATATTAATATTTTTTTCATCAAGTCACATTTATATCTAAAAAAATAAATAGTAAGTGTAATTTGAAATATTAAAATTAAATACAAATGTGATTTGATAAAAAGGTTACCAATATCCAAACAACTTAATTTTTTACAAGTATGTTTTACTTGATATCTTTTAAAATATGAACAATTTAGATTATCGAATTGAACTTTGAAATTGACCCAATAAGGTGCGCAACACAACCCTAAAATCCCTGAAAATGCTATACTTACAATTTGTACAAATTTGATTTACAAATTGATAGGAAAATGTTAGAGGTCCCAAATTTTCTACCAAATAAATGACTCTCACATGGGTGTGGGGCCCACAAAATTGCGGACCCCACACCCATGTGAGACATTTGATCATTTGTTTGGTAGAAAATTTGGTGTTCTAGCATTATCCAAATTGATATATGCTTTTAAAAAGAAGGCATTTAATAGCATTGACATATAAGTCGTAAGCTAAGAGTATGATTTTTTTTTTTTTTTTTTACGGGCCATTTGGGACAAACTTCGTGACGGAGGAAATTTGTTGGCTAAAGTTTTTTCCAACAAATATTACACTTTTAGGAACGAAATAAATTTGTCCCTAAAAAGCTGATTTCTTGTAGTGATCAGATGTAATTTCTCCATTTCACTAAATATTTTCGCTATAAACCGATTTTGTTTGTTGCATTGGATCCGAACAATCACATAATTTTCAGATACTCTTACTGCGACCTCAGGAAGCACTTGTGTGCAGCTCATATCAAAGTCGTCTTCCTCAGAGAGCCAAGATTTCTTCACACAAACAATTGATTCTACAGGATTTTTCTTCGTCTCGTCCTCATGTTTCTTTACATGTTCTTGAAGTTCTTTTATGTACTTTATAGCGTTTCCAAGAACAGAAGCATTGTCCAACTGTAAGAAAACATCAAGCCGTAAACATGCCAGAAATGGTATAGTAAGTACTAAACCAAGTGAGTCATTTGGCAGGATCTTCATAAGATGTGGGATGATGGGTTTCGCAAAGTCATTCTTGGATTCTGATAACAGGTTTCATCGCCATTACAATCTGACTTTGTAGATCCAAGCTTTGCTTCGTAGATATGGCTCCATTTCATTGGCTCTTGGAACTTAGATTATGCGTTTAGATCCTCTGGTGTGATTCTCTCTGTGGCGTTCGTGGGTTGGACGAAAATTGTTTCGTTTACTCCATACCCAAAAAAACACAAAAAACACAAAAAAACTGATGGGACTTAACGCTGGTAGCTAATGGTTTGTGTAACGGTTGCAGACTGCTACTTACCAAGGGTCGGCGGGTTCTTCGGCAATTTTTGATCTCGTTGTTATACTGGCCTATATTCATCACAGTGCTCTGTTTTTCCGATATGAACCGGTATGAACCGGCTGGTACGTAGCGTATCAGCTGGTTTTTAGAACTGCGATCTCTATCATATAATGACAATGGACGTTGAGAAAGATTGAATTCATTCCATCCCACCAATCAATGGGCCATACATATTTGTTTAATCAATGGATAAGATTGGTGAAAGGAAGCTAATTGGGTTAAGGAATGTGCTTTTTTTTGGTTTTCTCTCTCTTACCCAACAATGAAAGGAAGCTATTGGAGTTAAGGATCCTCCATCCTTGATGATGCTGTTATGATATAACGGGTTCCAGATAAAATGGGTTGGACTGGTCCAGGCTTCTCCAATCGGTATTTGGATGGTCAAGCCCACCAATGAACATGCACACGAGTTCAACGGGGAACGGGAAGTCCCCCAGTGAACCCTCCGACGAGCAAGTTAGAAAAAGAGGAAGTGGGATGTAGGGATATGAATTAGAGATACAAAAGCTTAACCTTCTTCTTGTCTTCAATGTCTGCTTTTATTCTTTAGTAATCATTTCGTTGTCCCTTCCGACCTGTCACCATGGCCAAAAGTCTATGCTGTAGCTCACCTTGTTCAGGGTGAGGGCGTGCTGTCCCGATGGAGAGGTGTTGTCGTAATAAATGCTGTGAGGGGCTGCATTAATGGCGATGTGCAGTGGCAATAACTTTGCATATCTTTGTCTGCTGATGTGGCTTGCCCTTTGCCTGCCACGTGTCTGAATATCATTGGTCCTTCATCTCATGTTGACTTCTAGCTGTGCTGGGCCTTATCAGTTGGGTTATGTACTAGATCCTAAGTGGTAGGCTTGGGTTGTTCATAGTGGGTTATGGCCTTTATGGGCCTACCCACATCAGTAGTCCCCTATTCCCAAGTGCAGCTTTAGCCCAACGAAGGGAATAATGAGGAAGATGGGGGTTGAAGGTCGAGTGAAAGGAACGACTAACCAAAAGTGGCCGAGTAGAGGGACCGACCGTTAGGAGGGCTGACCGTGAAGGGTAACCGTGTGGAGGGACCGACCGTGAGGAGGGTCAACCGCGAAGGGTAACCGAGTGGAGAGATCGACCGTAAGGAGGGCCGACCGCGAAGGGTAACCGAATGGAAGGATCGACCGTGAGGAGGGCCGACCGCGAAGGGTAACCGAGTGGAGGGATCGACCCTGAAGAGGACCAACCGCGAAGGGTAGCCGAGTGGAGGGACCGACCATGAGGAGGGCCAATTGCGAAGGGTGGCTGAGTGGAGGGACCGACCATGAGGAAGGCCGACCGTTAAGGGTAACCGAGTGAAGGGACCGACCATAAGGAGGGTCGACTGCGAAAGGTAGCCGAGTGGAGGGACCGACCATGAGGAGGGCCGACCACGAAGGGTAGCCGAGTGGAGGGACCGACCATAAGGAGAGCCGACCGCGAAGGGTAACTGAGTGGAGGGAACAACCATGAGGAGGGCCGACCGCGAAGGGTGAGGTGGCGGGGTGTGGGGCTCGAGAGGCAGTGGGTCACGTGATGACTTGAAATGGAAAAGACAGGGTAGGGGAAGGGGGCAGTGAATCGTGGTCGTACATGTGGCAGCATCTCGTGGTGGGGGAGGTTAGGCGTTGGGCCAGAAGTGAAACGATAGGTCATAATGGGTGTTGAAAAGACAGTTTTGGCGGATGGTTGAAAATTTTTCAAACTGGTGAAAATTAATTGTGACCCCTGGAATACAGGCAAGCCTTGGGCTTTTGGGATTATATATTTTGCCTACCTTTTTCGAAAAATCAAGACATTCTAAGTATAGACTCCTTCGTTGCAAGTGATACATCCTTGCGACATTTTTTGAATTTCCTTGCGCCCGCATCCGAAGCTATTCGTAGACACACCACAGAAATGGCCCAAGAAGAAACTACAAACGCCGGGGTTAATCCATTAGGGGACAACGACGCGGTGGATTTGGCAGAGCAATATAGGACGGAGAGGCAAGTGGGGAGTGGGGGGGAGCTGTCGAGGCGACCTCGTTCGTCCACAATGATGGCGGCACCAACGCCAATCAGTCAAGTGGAGCCAGATCACTGGCATACAAAGGCCGATAAGTCGATTATTACCGCGAAGGAACTGGAGAGTATGCGGGAGAAGTACCAGATTCCCGCCGAGATAGAGTTGACACTACCGGAGTCGAAGGAGAAGGCATCCGACATTCGATCGGGGGAGTTTGCCCTATACAAGGAGGCGCTAAAAGGAAGTTTGAGGTTGCCCCTACCCCGGATAATCGTGGACGTGTTGAACCAGTTGGAGGTAGCTCCAGGCCAACTGATGCCGAATGCGTAGAAAATCATGCTGGCTTGTACGAGCATGTGGCGGAAGGCAAACGGGGGTCTGAGATGATAGTGGACGAGTTTTTTGCGTGCTACAAGACGTCGAGGCAGCAAGAGACTTGGGTCACTTTGTAAGCGGCGGCAGGGAAGGGTCTGGTGGCGGGGTTGCCGTCATCGATAAAGCGGTGGAGGCCGTGATGGTTTTATATGTCTGCCAACGAAGGGGTTGGGGTACGCACAGTGTGAAAAGTGCTCACTAAGTCTGTGGAGCCAAAACTAGGAGCAGCAGCAGAGGCGAAAGTGAAGAGGGTGAAAGAATGGAGGGAGAAAGAGGGCGCCTGATAAGACGAGCTTGCTAAGCCGTCAGCCTTGTTTGCGACAAGGTTAGGTCCTCAACCAATCAGTGGAGACCTGGGACCGGCGGAATTAGAAGCGAGAAGAAAAGCGCAAGAGGCTGAGGATATGACCATCCTCGCCAAAGCCAGTAAGTTCAAAGAGTCCCAAGCAGACCGACCGCCGAAGCCAATCGCGAGGGAGAGGATCCAACCGCGCCCAAACCCCTGGGGGAAAAAGACTTAGGTGGATTTGAGCCACGATAGCCCCAATTGATCCTTTGAAGGAGAGAGCATACGTGGAGATGGAGGGTGTGGTAAAAAAGAATAAGAGATTGAGGAAGAGTGAGGGGGAGCCTGCCTTAAAGAGGAGAAAGGAGGCGACGACGGAGCAGACTCCCCTGGCGGGGGAAGCAGAAGGGGCCCTTGAAATGGGGTTGGAAAGGGCGGCTAAAGAGGGAGAGAGTGGGGCGACTGGCCTTGGAGAGCAAATGCAAAGTGGCGGGGTTGGCGCTGAGCCAAGGGTAGAGCCCAGGGGAGAGCCACAACCACAGGAGGGTCTGGCACCCCAAGGGGAGGGAGCAAGGCCAGGGTTGAAGACTGCCTTCTACCACGTCCCTACGGTGTCCTGGCGAGTAGAAGGGGAAGGGAGAGAGGCCAGGATGGCTGCAGACCGCCTCTTGAGGGTGGTGGAAGACGCAGCCGTTCGCTCGGTGGCTTGTTATACTGAGACTGAGCTGATGAAGGGGTTTTGCTCAGTCCAAATGGAGGTGGCTGCCTTAGTAGGAGCCCTGTTGAATAAGGCGGCGGTGGCGAAAAGCGAATGGAGGAGGGAGAGGGAGAGGGAGAAGTTGGGGGAGGTGGAGGCCCAACTTGAAAATTTCAAGAGGGAGAGCGTGGGTTGGAGGAGGGTTACGTGAAGTGCGTGTGCCAAGGGGTTGGAGGAGGCGCAGAAAGCGAAAAAGATGGAAGTAATGGCGATCGTGCAGCGCAATGTTGCCGCTCGAGCCATGCTGAGCTGCTCGCGGTCAAGTTGGAGCTAGAGGACGATCACCGCAAGGTAGTGTCACTCGAGTTCCAGCTGGCTGGCGAGTAGAAGAAGCTGGGGGATGCTCAAAATGCCTGCACGGTCGCCACCGAGCGGTTTGAAGAGGCTATGACCAGTAATGAAGAACTGCGTACCGAGCAAATCAAAGAAAATGATGAGGTAGACCTGAAGATCACTAGGCTGCAGAAAGAGTTGGAAGATAAGCGTGCTAAGGCAATGGAGGAGAAGGAGAGATTGGAAAAAGAGTTGGAGGAAGAAAAAACCAAGGCAGCCTCTGAAAGGGCAGCATACCCCGACCTGTATGTCGCAGCAGTGGAGCAATTCAAGGGGTCTGTTGACTTCCAGATGGCAGTCGATGCCGCGGTCGCCAGCAACTTGGCAAGGAAGGTGTTTGGGGGGGCGGGCCCGTCGGGAACGACCGCGGGGGGCAGGACTGAAACAGAAGTTATTGAGGGCTTCCAGCGGTCGGACTTCTACGAACACAAAATAGCTGAGTTCTGGGACAGTGGTTGGAAGATGTTCAAGCGGAAGGCAGAAGAACTGTTCCCAGACTTGGACCTTAGCGGTGTAAGGATTGATGAAGACGACGTGGCCCAGACCCCCCTAGATGAGGGCGTTGAAGAAGAAGACCTTGTTTCAAGTAAGGAAGAGTGACTGGTGTGAACAAAACCTGTACTTAGGGTTTTGGGTATTTATTGTGCTTTGGGTTGTACAAGTTTTTTTTTTTTTTTTTGAATTGTTGTAATGAACTTATGTACAAGTTTGTGAATAAATAAAATTTGAGTTGTGTTTTCATTCCATTGTTTTTGCTTGAGAATGGTAACTTGTGTATGAGGCAAAGCCAAGGTTGAAATGTAAGA